AGTACAGAGAACAATGACGTGGTGTGCCAGTTGCCGGGGTTCAGTCGTGATCAGCACACGGCCATCCTGTTTCATCCTCACCCTCCCACTCCCGCCCCGAATTTCTCTGAAGCAGATGCTAGATGTCATCGCAGATGCTCTTTTTGTGGTGGCAAAGTAAACCCCAGACCTTTGCCGCAGGGAAAAGCAGAAAGCTTTTGATGATGAAGATGATGAAGATGATGAAGAATTTAAAATAGGATGTTGGGTGAGGAATGCAAGCCAGAGACAGTCTTGAAAACCAGAGTCCAGTTTTCAAATTGAGTCCAGTTTTTAAATAAAAGGCAACTTTTAAAGATACTGTTAGATCCCTGCTAATCTAACCAGCCAGACCCCCCTCCCCCGCTCTCCCCCCCGCCCCCCCCCCCTGGTCCCCAAATTAGTCGTGACTTAGAAGTTTGTGGGAAAGGGGTATGTGGCTATGGGACATCATCTTCCCCGATTTACACCACGTACTGCCTAGACATAACACCCCTCCCTGACCCACTTCCATTTTTTTAGAGTGGTTTTAGGTTTATAGAAAAATTGAGCAAAAATACAGTTCCCACAAGCCCCTCCCCACCCCAAATTTCCCCTTATTATGAACATCTTGCATTAGTGTCATAATTTGTTACAATTGATGAACCTATATATAAACTAACTAACGTCCATAGTTTACATCAGGGTTCACGCTCTGCGTGTACGAATGTATAATGACATGCGTCCACCATTACAGTATCATACAGTCTAGTTTCATTGCCCCCCAAATCCTTCGTGTCCCACCTAGTCAACCTCCCTCCCCCAACCCCTGGCGACCACTGACCTTTTTACAGTCTCCATAGTTCAGTCTTTTCCAGAAGGTCATGTGGCCAGAACCAAACAGTGTGTAGTCTTTCCAGACTGGCTTCCTTCGCTTACTCATAGGCACTTAGGTTCCTCCATGACTTCTCATGGCCTGATGGCTCATTTCTCTTGAGCGCTGAGTAATCATTCCTTTGTGTAGATGTGCCACAGTTTACCCATTCACCTATTAAAGGACATCTTAGCTGCTTCTTGTTTTGGACAATATAAATAAAGGTGCTAATAAATATCTGTATGCGGACATAATTTTCACTTTCTGGGTAAATCCTGAGGAGTGCATTTGCTGGATTGTATCACAGAATTTTTAGTGTGACTTGCACATGTTTTTCCTTGGTCAGTGGCTTCAATCAGAAATGTTTTTTTATGAGGTGTAGTGTTCATAGAGTCAAGTACACGAATCTTAAGCATACAGTGTGATGAATTTGTGTGTGTGTACACACATGATCGAGATGTGGACCATCTCAGCACCCAGAAGGCTCTTTGTACACCTTCCCCATCACCGCCCCTCCACCGTCTGGAAGTGGCTCCTCTGACTCCCAGCATAATCGCTGGTTCTGCTGGTCAGGCAGCTCCCACGCCGCCACTATGGAAAGCAGATTGTTTTTTTTTTTTAGGGGAAAAGTGGCCATGAGTAGCAGTTTGTTTCCTTTCTGGTTTGTTTTTAGTGGAGCCCGATTTCATCACCAAATTGTTCCTGCTGGTCTGGACCAGGGGTTGGCACGCTTTCTGGGTAAATATTTTAGCTTTGCAGGCCAGCGGATGAGTGAGCATGACTGCGCTCCAGTGAAAGTTTAGTTACAGAGATAGGAGATGAGCCCTATGTGGCGCTGGGCCTGCGTTTGCGAACCCGGGTAGAGCAGATCTTTCCAAGCTTTGTGAAGTCAGTCCAGGCCCTGCGCTCAGCCTGCACCCGCAGGGGTGGACAGACGCTGTGCACCTTTGCAGGCTCCTCAGGAGACTTTCATGCACTTTCCAGGTAGAGAAATCTCAGTGTTTCCTTCTAAGGAGGAAGCTAATAGGTGTCCTGGGACCAAGAACTCCACAGACAGATTTAAATGTAAACAAAAGCCCATTGAGCCTCTTCCCTCCTTAGCACTTTGATGAAGGTCTCATTTCCCCTTTCACCACCTGTCATTCTTCCACCTTCTCTACTGAGGGAACAGGCTTTTATAAGCCAGGTAGAGGGGGCGTTGGGAGCCCAGTGGAAAACTCTCCATATTAAAGTTGAGGAGTGAAGGTCGTTCTTCAGCAAAAGCAGCGGGGCAGGGGAATATGGGATCTGGAGTCTTGGGGGAATCCTGAGATGAAAAGTGCCCTGGGGAAGGAGGGGGGAAAGTTGTGGTCAAAGGGGGAATTTTCCAGTGCGTCTCCTCGAGGTGGAACAGTTTCGAGTGACTCCGGGGGCTGAGATAATGGCAGCTGCTTGCAGTTATGAAGCACGGCCTGTGTTTCTAGCACTTCTTCAACAGCCTCACTTGATCTGTTCAGGATCCTAGGAAGTGTCTGCTGCTCGCACTCCCATTGTACAGAAGCAGAGACTGAGGCTGAGGGGTTACGTAGCTTAGGGAGGACCATGGAGTGACTCTGAGGTAGGAGCCAGGACTGGAGCCCTGGCAGTTGGGCATCTCTCAAGGGATGACCAGGTGGGTGCCTGGGAGGGTGGAATTGGAAGCCAGTGTCAGTGAGAGGTGGATGTGCTGTCAGTGTGTGTGCTTGCTCTGCAGCTTCGGAGGCGGCAGGAGAAAATGCTGGCAGAATGGAGGACCCCATGGCATGAAACAATGGACAGGCTTAAGCCATAGCCTTCAAAACTCTCAAAACTAGAAAACTGGTCTGCGGCCACATTAGTGCTAGCTGGGAGCAAAGGCTGGGCAAATTCTAGAGAGAGACTGCATGAGGCTTTGGAGGGCTGTGCAGAGAGCAACCTGCATAAGACAGGATTAAAGCAATATTTGAAAGTGCAACAGGCATCATTTTCTACTTTCTTTGGGCATTGTGCGAATAATAATAGTTTGATTGAATGACAATAATAATACCTCCCCACTAAGCAGAACTTTCCAACAATTGGGATTTTTTTTGTGTTTTATCTCAGGAAACCACAGCCTAAAAAGAAAGAAAAAGAAGTGGTGGGCAGGGGATTTATTCAAATATACCAACTTCCAGGTTTTACTGCACAGTTGGGTCTCTCTTCCATCTTTTAAGTCTATATTTGTCCTGCAAAGAGGACAGAGGGCAGAGGAAGAGGCTCAGTGGGTCTTAACAGGACTTGATTACAAGTTTCAACACAACAAATGTTTGCTGAGAATTTTAAAAGTCATGTACTGTTGGGGATATAAAAGAAGTATCCAAAACATGGTTTCTGCCTTCGAAGAACTTTCCAAGATGGTGAGATGATTCATTATCTTCAGTGTGAGGGGGAAATTGTATAGACACAGTTATTGAAAATCCTCAATAAAATTTAAGGCAAAAAAAGGGTTTAAGAGATTCCCAAAAGTCTTGTCTTCTGGAACAGTCCAGATTTGGAAGTTCTGTGTGATCATGTCTAATTCTTTTTTTTTTTTTTTTTTTTTTTTTTTTTTTCAATTCTCACCTGGGGATTTTTTTTTTTTTTTTTTTTTTTGAGAGAAACATTAAAGGTTGCCTCCCATATGTGCCCCATCCAGGGATCAAACCTGCAACCTAGGTATGTGCACTGACTGGGAATCAAACCTACGACCTTTTGGTGTATGGGATGACACTTCAACCAACTGAGCCACCCTGGCCAGGGCATCACATCTAATTCTTCAGTGCCAGGTACTCTATCCAGGCCGGCCTTTCCCCAGACTGCCAGGAGAGCTCAGCGTCTGGAAGGCACCGATGAGAAACATTCTGGCGCATAGCTGGGGTTTGGGCATGGCCCCCAGCTCCTCTGGAACTTTCTTTGGAACATCAGGAGTGCATGCAGAAGTCATACATTCTGCTTCTGAATCTTAGTCCACGTTCCCTTGGGAGTCTGAAACCACACCGTTCTATAGGAACCCCTAGTTGACTTACTCTGACCCTGCTTCTTTTTGGGAAGTCCTGTGCAGGTGTGTTGGCTGCCTCTTTGTCATCCCAGATGTTGTGGGCTGGCAGCTGGTGGGCCGTGGTGGTACACAGCCTGCATTCTTTTATTAACAGAAGTAACCATCCCTTAAAATCCTATTTGCCATCCGAGTCTGGATTTCTAGCTTCTTGTGAAATGTTGAATCTGGCAGTACAAGGACAGATGTGCCCAGTACACTCCCCTGCCCTGGAGGGAGGCCTGCCCCCCACCTCCCCAGCAATGGGTGGTGCTTCCATTGCCATCATCACTGGCCCTGCCCTGTTGCTTTCTTGATCTGGATTGAGTGTTTTTCTCTACCTGAGCTCTATCAAAAGTGGATTCCTAAAGAGAGAAATAGGAAGCCATGAATGTCTTCTCTTCTACCTGGCCCGTGTCACCACGGCTGTCGCCTGCCTGACCCCAACAGGTGTTGGTTATCTGCTCCGACAAATGGGTGTCCCTCATTATTGATTACCCTCAGATCTCTCATATTCCAGATTAATTTTTAAAGCATTGGATGTAGGATGAGCACATTCTCCTTGGCTCTGTGTCTTCTTTTGTGCCCAGGGGCTCAGTGAACAAAACCCGCCCCCCACCCTAGACCATTTCATCATTTAAGTCCCACTCACCATGAGCCATCACGGGTTAGACCTGTCGTTGGCACGTCATTCTCATTTCCCTCTGTCCAGGAACATGTATTCCCCGATGACTTGAGACAGCACCCATGAGCTGCACGTGGGCCCACTGCTCCCCGCCTGGGTAATAGCCCAACCTTTGCTTTAGGGAACTAGTCCCTGCTGCTGCTAGGTGGGGAGGCAGTGAGTGACCATGGTCACATTTCACTTCAAAGGTGACCCAGTTTCAAAGAGGGCAAGTTATGTTTGTTATCAAATGAGGGGAAAGTACAGGATTCTTCAAGAGGGGGAAAATCGTACAATGCTGACTGGTACGGGCCTTCTAATATAGCGCTGGCCGCCCCTGGAGCTGCAGCCTGGCTGAATTTGGTGTGAAACGTGCCAGGGAGAGCGTGGGAAGGCAGACACGATGGAGTGAGGGGCCCCCCGTGTTCTTTCCTAGGCACCCCCTGGCCACCTTCTTCCACCTGTTTTTCCGAGTGAGCGCCATCGTCACTTACGTGGGCTGCGACTGGTTCAGCAGGAGCTTTGTGGGCTGCTTCGTCACTGTGCTCCTCCTCCTCTCCTTCGACTTCTGGTCTGTGAAGGTGAGCCTCCCTCTGATGCCGCTGCTCCCGCTGCTCCCGGGACACGTGGGCTGCGCCCGGATGGTGACTGTCCTGATGCAGGTGGCCCGTTTGAGCGAAGAGATGCTCTGGCTGGAACTGCTGATACATTCTTAGAATACGGAGCCAGCCTCACTTAAAATCAGAGGGAAAAACACATTGTTTAGTGTTGGGTAAAGGGCTTCAGGATATCAACTGTTGCAAATAGGTGCCATGTGAGATGACAACTCCATATGGCTTTGATTTTTAATAAAGTTTACATATAATATACAGAGATTTGAATGTTCTACCTACTGTGGGTATATATATTTGGGGATCCTGTCACTTTTTAAGGTAAGCTTAATTAAAAATTAGAAGCCTCGAACACTGAGAAACCACCACAGTCCAGTTCCCCTCCTCTCTGCTCCCAGTACAAGTTTACCTTTTGTTTTATTCGCCAACAAACAGGTGACGACCTGCCCTTTGCCCAAGGTGCGCTGATCATCATTTTGTCCCTTTTCCTCAGAACGTAACTGGGAGGCTCATGGTGGGCCTCCGCTGGTGGAACCAGGTCGATGAAGATGGGAAAAGCCACTGGATCTTTGAAGCCAGAAAGGTATTCTCCATGACGAGGCGAACCAGCACGGGGAGAGCGGCTGTGGGATGTGTCCGTGGGTTCCTTTCGGGCTCTGGGCAGCTCTAACCCTGCCCTACCCAGCGCGTAGCAGAAGCACATGTAAAATCAGTGAAAATGATGGCATGACTCCCTTTCCCACACAGGTCTCTCCTAATAATATCACCGCCACCGAAGCAGAAGCCCGGATCTTCTGGCTTGGCCTCATTATTTGCCCGATTATTTGGATTGTGTTCTTCTTCAGCACCTTGTTTTCCTTGAAGCTAAAGTGGCTGGTAAGGCAACTCCTGACCCTGATGTTGCTTTGACATCTGCACAGAACCAGGGGTTCCAGGAGTGGATTATTTATTGATAGATTGATTGAAAGCACTGTATTGAGATAATTCACACACCATACAGCCCACCTATATAATGTGTATAATTCAATGGCTTCCATGTATTCAGGTGTGCAACCATCACCACAATCACTTTCAGGGTTTTTCATCACCCGCAGACACCCTGCAGCCTTCAGCTGTCACTCCCTCCCAATGCCCCTGTTCACACAGCCCGACACCCCCTCATCTTTGTTTCTATAGGTTTGTCTATTCTGGACATTTCCTGTAAGTGGAATCATGCAATATGTGGTCTTTTGTGACTGACTTCTTTCACGTAACGTAGCATTTTCAAGGTTTATCCATGCTGGAGCTGAATAGTATTCCATTGTATGGATAGGCCACATTTTATTTATCCCTCCATCCATTGATGGCTATTTTGGTTGCCTCCATCTTTGGTGCACGAATAATGCTGCTAATAGAGGAGTTACCGAAAACACCTATGACATCCTACCATGGACAGGGAACCCTCCCCATGTGGGAATAAGCTAGCCTCCGAGTTCTGAAGTGTTATTTCAGAGTTACTGTATTTTGTTGCCATGACCCATTTCATTTGCTGAGAAAACAAAATATCCATACATATACAAGCAACACCATGATTCGAGGTGTGGACTCTGGAGTTTGGGTCCTGGTCTGGCCTTACATCAGCTCCTGGAATTTGGGCAACTTTTGTGTCTCTGGGATGATAATGGCACCGACTTCTCAGGCCGTTGACTAAAAGGTGTCCAAGAGCCTAGGAAGGTGCTGGTAAAAGGTCAGTGGCAACGTTAGGTGCAGCCAGAGCTACCGCTGCAGGGTGTGGGAGGAACATTTCCATGTAAGCTCAGGAGCCTGACCTTTCTTTGTCTGAGCGCAGGCCCTCGTGATAGCGGGGATCTCCCTCCAGGCCGCTAACCTGTATGGCTACATCCTTTGTAAGATGGGAGGCGAGAGTGACATCAGCAAAGCCGCAGCCAGCTTTCTGTCCCAGACAGTGTTCCAGACGGTGAGTGACTGAAGCTCAGAAGCGGGGGGCCTGCTGCCAGTGTTAGTTTTTAACATTGCGGTGAAAATACACAACATAAAAATTTACCATTTTAACCAGTTATTTGTTTTTAATCTTCACCTGAGGGTATTTTTTCATTGCTTTTTCAGAGAGTGGGAGGGAGGAAAAGAAGGGGGGATAAGGGGAGAGAGACAGACACACATCGACTGGTTGCCTCCCACCGACTCCCGAACAGCAACCCAGGTATGTGCCCTTGACCGGGAATCGAATCCGTGACCCTTCAGTGAGCAGGCTGACACTCACTGAGAAATGCTGGTCAGGGCCATTTTAACTCTTTTCAAGTGTACAGTTTAGTGTCATCTAGAACATTTACATTGTTGTGTGACCATCCATCCCCAACCACCATCCATCTCCATCCAGAACCTTCCATCTTCCCAAACTGAAACTCTGCCCATTAAACAGAAACTCCCTGTTGCCGGACTCCCAGCCCCTGGAAATCACTATTCTACTTTCTGTTCCTATGAATATGACGACTCCAGGGACCTTAAACAGTATTTATCCTTCTGTGACTATCATCATTAGTCTTCAATGATTTTAAAAACGATACAATTTAGAAGCACACACATTTTTCTAACCTCACATATAAGTGCAGTGAAATAAACGTGACCAGGCTCATCCTGAAGTGGTGTGAACCGTGTTAAATGTTCACAGTGCTACTGTATGCTCTTGGCACATGGGGGTTTGCCCTGGGCTCAAGTGGGAATCGGGCCAGCACAGGTGGGACCGAACGCCATGCTGCCTTTCCCTTGCAGGCCTGCCCACGTGACTTTGAGAAGCCTGGCCTCGAGGGGCTGGAGATCCACAAGTGTTAGGTGAGAGGCGGGATCAAGGCAGGGGTCTGGACCGGGGCTGGAGGCTTGTGGGAAGTGCAGCTCCCCTAAGCTCGGCTGTGCCCGTGGCCTGGGCTGCCTATCCCAGTGCCCTGAGCGGCCAGGGGCACAGCCAGGTAAGGGAGCCAGCCTGTGCCCTGGACATCCCTGGGCTTTGTGACTTCATCACCCTTTACTGGAGTCCCGCTCTCCTCACATTGGACATGTACAAATCCAACCATATGCATGCATGAAGGGGAGCAGGGGAAAGAACAAGGGAATTTGCCCTGGTACCACTTACACTCAGATAAGATGGAAAACAGGAATTTACTCATCCCTCGGCTGTCTCCATTCCTGTGCATTTCAAAGGGAGCCTCTCTTGTCCATGATTCTCGAGTTCACAGCTGTCTTTCCTGTGAAATGTCTTGTATAGCACCAGAAGTTACTGGGGGTAATGTCAGGTGACTGACTAAACAGGGTAGACACAGACCCCAGTTTGGTTTAGTGGGTGATCTCAGGGGTGTTCTGACCACAGGCAGCTGCATCGATGCTAACCTCAGAACAAGCCCTGGCTTGAAGCTTCATCGATGTTCCTTTTCCCCAATCTGGAGAGTAACTGGACTACTACTCACACCGTGACCGCGGGCTCTGCACCGAAGCCATACATCACCCCTCTGCTTCCCTTTCAGGCTTATCTCCAGAGGCAGCAATAGTGAAATGAGCGGTTCTGCAGTCAAGCAAGCTCAAGCAGGCATTCCCGACCAACAAGCCATGGGTTTTCAATGAAGCAGGGACGTTTGAGGAGACGCTTTTATTTTTTAAACGGCACATTTGTAAAGAACGCCTTTTCCATGTGATCTAAAGAAAACTGTACAAGTATCAGGTGATTAAAGTGTCCGCAAAAGTGACTTCACACCAGAGTCTGGTCCCTCTTTCCCTGAGCCCACTTGTGCCCGAGAGGTCAGGACACACTGGCCGTGCTGCTCGCGTCCATGTCCCCCTGTGTTTCAGGAGCTAACGAGGTCCTTTCTTCTTTTGGCTGCTGGAGACTACAATACTCCTGGATTCCTGGAAAACAAGGCGGCAGGCAGAGAAACACTGGCAGCTCCTCAGTGCCCCGGGCAGCCCTGCCTGTGCCAGCCTGGGCGCTTCTAGGTTGGGGTGGAATTCCCAGATGCCGAACTCCCTAAAAAGCCCCATTTCTGTTGATGCCCCGAATCTTCCGTGACCTGAACACCACACACTCCCCATGCGTGGTGAGAACCACACGGGAGGCCCATCCTCGGAAGTCCATCCTCCTTCAGAGCCCGGGAGTGATGTTACTTCCCCCAACACCACTGCACCGGGCAGAAAGCTCCCGCACAGACCATGCCTGGGGGCCTTTGACAGCTGTCGCCTTGGCTCCCGGCTGGGAACTGGAGCTGCACGTGAGTTTGGTGTGGCTCACTAGGCTTTGTGTCTTTTCTTCTTAATTTTCTTTTGACAGCTTTACTGAGATGCATTTCCTTTGCCATAAAATCCCCCTCACTGTGTCTCTTAAACTATGACTCAGCCCAGACACTGACGTACTGAAAGGTTTCTCATAGACTCCGGGTCCCTGGGTTGAGGGAGGCGCTCTCCGGGTCATCCCAGACCCCCTGGCCTGAATGCCCAGCCGAGGCTGCATGGCAGTGATCACTTCTGATCCTACATGGGTTCTCCTCACACCCACCCCAGTTTGCTCATTTATGTCACCTCCTGGCCCCACAGCCACCTGGATTCACAAAGCTCACATAAATACTTACTTTGAATTATACTTCTGTAGGCTAACGTAGCTGGTGAATTTGGCGCGTCAATCAAAAAAGACCGTCCTTCATCACAACTCTTCCCTGAAAGAAACAAATGAAAGGGAATTAAATCCTTGAAGTAAACAAAGTGGTAACATGGCTTTGGGGCTCGTTCTGTGCCTGTGACAGTAGGAAGCTCCTGAACCTGCTGCATTAGTAATGAACAACGCCAAGAAAGATGGCGGGGGCCTCCCTCCTTCCACAGGGACCAAGGGTGTTCCATGAGTGCCTACAATTCCTCTGGGTGGTGTGGCAATGCAGGTTCCAGGGCCCCACACAGGACAGATTCAGCAGCTCCTGGGTGGGCCCAGGAACTGAGTTTTCAAAGATTACTTAGTTCTTCTCAGTAAAAAGATCATGAATACACATGGAGAAAAAGTATGGGATACAAAATGTACCATAAAAGGGGAGGCTATCAGTGTTTCAGATGTCTTTCTGGAAACTGTATGTGCATCTAAATGTGGCACATATGTGCACACACACCCATATACTTAGAAAAAAGAATGGCAGCTTATGACACACATGTTCTGCCCACTGCTTTTTCCATGGATACTCGTATCCTGAAGGTCATTCCACCTGTCTGCTGATCTTTCATAAGGCTGTCCACCCGATGTCCTCCTGCGGACACGCAGGTTGTCTCTAGGACCTCATGTCATCCCAGTGTCTGGTGAGCAAACACAGAGGGCCTGCCCAGTGGCTTCTATATCCTGCAAGGCCTTCTTGCCTCCTCCATCTGTCTGCCCACCCCCATTCCTGCCTAGACCCCCGTGGTTGGTGTTTTTGGCCCTGCCCCCAGATGCTAAGTACCACTGGAGAAGCAGGCTCAGTAATTCCCCACCCACAGCTGCTCCCCAATCTCAGTGGAACCCAGTGAGGCCAATCTGGAACTGTCATTTCCTCGACTCCCCCACAGGACAGGGAAACCCGAGCGAGGGGAGGAGCCACAGACGTGGAGCTCCCGGGGGAACACATGGAAGCAGTTCGGGAAGCCTGCTGGGAGTTCCCACAGCAGAACCAGGTCTGGGAAGCACAGGTTCCAGAACTGTCCCGTAAGGGTCCCTTTGTTCATTTCCTAGTGCCCTCCCTGCACTGGCATCGCCCTGACCAATCTCTCCTCCGCTCCTCCAGCCCCACCTCAACCAGCCCTCCTCCCTGAGGTCTGCCTGCTCCCCTGGCCCCCCGCCCGCCTGGTTCACTGCCCCTCTTTGCTGCAGGCGGAGCTCCTGGAGGTGGTCCGGGGGCTGGGCCCCGGTGTATGAAGGCCCCACTCAGCGATGGAACTGGGTGCGGAGACTCACCCACCTATGTGCGGGTCCAGCGGCACTTTGCCGAGGAGCGGGATCTTCAGGTCCTGGCACATGGCCTCTGCGCCCCCCGTAGTGGGCGGGAATATCTGAGACTCCTTCTGTGAGCCAAGTAAATGGGGAAGAATCATAATTTTGTTTCAGGATCACAACACAGGAACACATTTTAAAGAAACTTTTCAAAAACATCCATTCTAACATGAAACACTAACTACCAAAGACTTTTCATTCAACCAGCAGTGCAGAACGGTCATTGTGATCCCACTTCTGGAGACAACGGGGAAAGCACCCAGCTTCAGAGACCCGCGCACAGGGCTGGTCAGCACTCACCTTGCACTTGGGGCAGACGAAGCCGCTCATGTTCTCCACCACCCCGATGATGGGCAGCTTCACCTTGTGGCAGAAGCTGATTTCTTTCCGGACATCCTGCAGGGACACCTCCTGCCACGGTTCAAAAGACCAGTTGTTTCAAAGTCCAGGTACAAGAAAGAGAATGTGTGAGGTCGAGGGCCGGCTGCAATGCAGTGGATCACCCTCAGAAAGCTTAGGGATGTGAGCCGTTTATCCGAAGAGTATTTACTTAGTGCCAACCATATGCTAAGCCCTGTTCAGGCTCTCTTCATTCCCACAAAACCCAGAAAGGATGAACCCGAACAGCCAAACATCAAATATATAATGAATCTGCGGAAAAGTGACCTTTTAGCATATCTCTTTTTCCCCCCTTTTTATTGGATTTATTGAAGTGACAAAATTATACAAGTTCAGGTGTGCAATTCCACAACACATCATCTCTACACTGTACTGTGTGAGCACCACCACAGTCAGGTGTCCTTCCATCACCACGTATCCCCCTACACCCTGCTCCACCTCCCCAACTAGCATGTCCCAATGTTTACTTTCTTTTCAACATACTATGCTGAGCCGAAGTGTGCGCTATTTTTTAGTTCAGGGGATGGGGAACTAGGCCTGTGGCGAAATCTGGCTGGCTGCCTGTTTTTGCCAAGTTCTTCTGAAGCCCAGCCATGCCCATTCTTTACATACCGTCTCCAGTAGCTTCCACCCTACGTGGTACAGCTGAGTGGCTATGACAAGGACCACATGATCCCTAAAGGCTAACATATGTACTATCTGGGCCTTCGCAGAAAACATTTGCTAACCTCTGATCTAGATTATTATGAACACAAAGAACTTTGCGGACAGAAATAAAATAAGATCTTTGGATCCCTTAAAGTTCATTTCTGAACTCTGCATGTATATTTCACAATGTGGATACTGAGTATGATCATTGTTTAGTATCCTCCCCGTTCCCCGGTTAATGTTATTGCAGACACATGTCTTCACTCGCTGTCGTCAAGTGTGGCTACTCCTTAGCACGTGTGACTAACAGTCACGGCTCCCAAAGGATCACAGCTCTAGTCATCTATTCTCCAGAGGCACACATTTGGCTCTAGGCCTTTGTGAGGCTGGGGTGCAGGCATGTAGCTAGAACGTAAACTGGCTCTGACTTTGTGCATCTCATTGTGCCTCTGGTTCTCTCCGGGATGTCCTGTAATTCAAAGCCTGCCGGTCCCGGTGTGAAGGGCTTTGAGAAAGATTGTGTCCACAGCCCGAAGTGACATTCTCCAGAGAGGCTCTATACAAAGGGCACGGGTGTGATGCATGCCCGCTCCCCATGGCTTCCTGGGGAAGGGCCAGCACCTGTTGGTGTGTCTCCTGTTCTTGAACCCTCAGGGACTCCGTGTTTCCATTCACACAGATGTGGCATGGAGAAGCCATCTTTGGGCCAACTAGGCTTCTGCTAGTATAAGTTCCTTTTAGAGCAGCTTTATGTTCACAGCAAACCTGAGCGGAAAGTACAGGGACTTCTCATAGGCCCTTTGCCTCCACACACGGAAAACCTTCCCCACCATCAACATCCCGGTGGTGCATTCCATCCAGACTGTTTCCTTCTAGTAATTACACTGGGAGCAATCCATCTTCTCTCCACCTCCACCCGGGCCAGTGCCCAGGTGGCCGCTAGCCATCCAAGCGGTGTCTTGCTCCTCCACATGCCCCGACATCTCCCTGCACAGGGAACCAGAGGGATCCGAAGACATGAATCCTGTCACACCACTGACAGCAGCCTGCGTGTGCCCATATGCACAGCGTCCATGTTCCTCGGTGACCACATGGGCCGTGAGGAAGGGCCGGTATGTTTCACTGTCCGGGTGCCTGGCCCAGGGCCTGCATGAAGTGACTGCTCAGCGAAGGCGTGGAGAAGGATGGGGCCGGCTGCCTGCTGGACTAACCCAGTGTGGGTTCCTCACAGCCCCGTGACACAGCCTCTGTGACTGGTACATGAGGAGCTGGCAAGGCCCACAGCAGCTTCCCCAGAAAATCCCCGCCTACACCCAGGGCTGGTGCTGCAGAAAACTGGGGAGAGCTCCAAACTGTCCTGCAATGTGAGTGAGGGGGCCCTGCAGACTGCGGACTTGATGCATGAGTGGTAAGGGCGAGGTGACCATGGCGGACAATCTGAATTGTAACAGCACCATCGCTCTCGCTGGCTTTGTGAGAGGAAATTAAAAAGGCATTTTTAAACCTCTACTGGACAAAAAAAAAAAAAAAAAAAATGCTTATTTGTCAGATGCAAATGCCTGGGCCAAAGATAAACAGGGTTTCTGCAGAGACAAAGCAGGGCTGCTCGTCCCGAAGGGCCCTTGGTAGAGCAAGTCTCAGGGCCTACGAGGAAGAAAGCTCTGGCGGCGCAGCTCTCCCCCAGCTCCTCCGCACCGCTCACCTGGGGGGTGGTGATGATCACGGCCCCATCGATGCGCGCGGCGGCCAGGTACTGGACCACCGAGAGGTGCTCGTCCGACGTCCCGGGTGGGGTGTCCACGATGAGGTAGTCGACCTCTCCCCAGTCCACATCGCGGAGGAACTGCTTGATCATGCCTGCAAGGAGGGACCACACTGAGGCCAGGCCCCCCTTTCCCCAGGCTGGGCTGGGCTCCCCAGAAACAGTTTGTGACCCTCCCGTGCAGACCCTCAGTCATGGCATGTGGAAATGCCTGGAGACATTGGTGGCTGCCACGTCGAGGGAGGGGGTGCCGCTGGCATCCAGCACAGAGGCCAGGCTGCCCCTGGCATCCGTGGGGCAGAGCACTGCCCACCCGTCCCCAAATGGCCCAGGGCCGGGCCTGAGGACTCTGCCTAAGCCTCAGTGCCCACTCAGGCTGGTACTGATTTCAGTTCAGACACTTCTCTCTCTGACACAAGCCACTACACCACCACATGAATATGGATAAATTCAGGGTTACATAGGTTTCCAGGAGGAAAATCCCCCACAATAGGTATTAAAAACTGTAAAACAAAAACTGGTATTTCTTCAACCAGTGACGGCAGGGGCAACTGAACACTTAGACACCCTGCCTCGGCGGCCCCTGCAGGGGGCAGGGAGCCCCAGCAGTCCTGCCAGAGAGAGCGACGGACAGGAACGGAGCACTAACCGTTCTTCTTGGGTCCTCGCCAGATGACAGCGTCGTCGGGGCTGCTGAGTAAGAAACCCACTGACATCACCCCCAGGTTGTCTTCCAGGAACTGGAGAAGATGAGGCAAGAAACATTTTCCTTAAAGCCACAGCACGAGACACTTCCCTAAGTCTCGTCTGGCTGAAAAAAACCGTTTGGGGGTAATATTACTGTGATCTATGAGTACATTCACTCTTTGAATCCTCAAATCGTTTTGAGGGGGAGAAGGTTACCGTATGGGTGGGATTGAAAGAGGTATCACTGGCCCTCAGCCACAATGACAGGCGACTTGGCTGAAATAATGAGCATCATGTCCTCAACTGGCTAAGGCTGTGGCCCTTGGGCCAAACCTGGCCACCATCTGCTTTTGTACATGAACTTTCACTGGAAAACAGCCATGGTCACTCATTTACATATCACTGCGTCTGAGCTACAATCATGGAGAGTGTGTGGCCCTCAAATAGAAAATGTTCACTGTCTGACTCAACAGAAGCGGTCTGCCAAGCCCTGGTCTTAAATGGAGGCCCTGCGCTAGAAACGTGCCCAGGGAAATGCTTGCTGACTGATTCGCAGGCGGGCTGAGATCAGTGTCGCCAGCCACCACATACCCACTATGTATACCTGGTCCATCCCCACTCCGTCGAAAAGAAGGCAAAAACGTGAGCACTCACCACTGGAGACCAGCCCGAGCCACTCTGGTGCACCTGTGTGAACACGGGCATGAGTCACTTGTAAATCCCGCACCCTGGTCACACGTCATGCAGACACATTTTACGCAGCAAGAAGACAGTTTTACAAAATAGAATTAATCTAAAATGCCACTACTTAATGCTCAATAGCAAGTGAACACTTGGGGGGGGGGGGCAAGAGGGGAGGAGGGTGGTTAATGAAAGCGATAATTCAATATCTTTTTCCCCAATAACTTGGGCTGTTTTGAAACTGCGTAGCCATCTGGTCAGGGAATCGGTTATCCAAGCCAAACACAATTTGGGGTCTGAGGTATTTTTAAAGACTGACAGAAATTGCTTGTGGGTTACTGAGAAAATGCAGTGACTGTAGAGCAGTGGGGTTGCCCCTCAAAGACCGGAAGTGAAGAAAGTACTGAGTGAGCCAGGTGACACAGCACCGCCCTGTGCATGGCCTGAGCATCCGCTGGGGCCTGCTGTCCCCGGGGAGCAAGCACTGGGAGGAGGGTGTCAGGGAGACGCTCCCGGGGGACTTCAAGATGGACTCTCCATCATGGGAGTTCACCAATAGCCAGGGCTCAACTTCGCACCATCTGCTAAGAAGCTAGAACTTAAGCAACTCCCAATTACATGTCAATGTTAGACGTTAGAGCAGCGCAGGAGCCAAAACGGAAAGTCTGCTTTTCTTAATGAAGACTTCCTTTCTGAAACAGCTCTATAGCATACAATGCACCTACTGAAAGGGCACAGTTCACTGGCTTTCAGGATAGTCACATGATCGTACATCCACCACCACAATCAACCTTAGAAGATACCCTGCACGTCTCCCCTGTCGCCCCCAGTCCTGACACTCCCCTCCAGAACTAGGTGACCACAGATCTGCTCTGTCTCTGCACATTGCCTGTTTCAGACAGTCAAAGAAGTGCAATCATGTAACATGTGGTCCTTTGTGTCCAGCTTGGAAGTCTCATTAAAAACAACACAACAAAACCATTTGTGCCCTGGCTGGTGTGGCTCTGTCGGTTGGAGTGTGATCCTGTGCACTGAAAAGCTGCTGGTTCAATGCCTGGTCAGGGTACACACAGGGGTTGAAGGCTTGATCCCCGAAAGAGGGTGTGCAGGAGGCAGCCAACTGATGTTTCACTCTCACATCAATGTCTGTCTGTCTGTCTGTCTCTCTCTCTCTCTTTCCCTCTTCCACCCCCTCTCTCTAAAAGTAATATATATATATATATATATATATATATATATGACAGATACATATAATAGTATAGTAGTATACTATTCATATATAAATAGAAAAATTCATTCCTACTTATCCAATTAAAAAAACAGAGAACCTCCCTAAAGAGCAGCTCCCGCGCCTGCCCTGCTCCATGCTGCCTGCCTCCTCACCCGGCTTTAGTTTTCTATTACCTATCGCCTGTCTGTCTGTCCCTTCCCACGAGGGCACGGTCTGTATCTGCCTTGCTCACCCTGGGTCCCAGCACACAGAACAGTGCTGCACTTAAGTACGAATGCACCATTTTTGACACTCCCAGAATCAAAGCACTGCCCCGGGGGAGGGAACCCTCCTGGGATTGCTTCTTGCAGCTCCGAAGGGAGAGACTAGCACCTGCTCAGACCACTGCGGCCCCGCCCCCACCCCACATCACTCTCCCACTTCACAGTCTCAGTTCCCCAGAGGTAACCACAGGGCAGAAACATTCCCTCACTTCCAGGGTACAAGCCCCCAGCCAACGCTGGTCTGGCTTTCCCAGTGAGCTACATCTCTGTGTCTTACTTCTACATTTTACTTGCTGTTTCCCTTCCCCTCTGAGATGGCATGGAAACCAACACTTCTTTAATGGTTTAGATGAACTTTATAAATAATCCCCCCCACACACACCCGGCTCAATTCACAGTTATTGTTGAAGTAGAAAGATGGATCAGCAAATGTTTATCTGGTTTTACCACGTCCACGGAAACCTGTGTGGGCTGTGCTAGTCCTTCGTTCAGGCTGAGTCGCTCAGCACAGGAGTTTGTGTAAGAGACCACTCCGCTACATTTTATAACATAGCTCTTACCTGCTCTCCTTCCAATCCCATAATCTTGGGAATGGACGGCCCACATATATCAATGTCTAGAAGAGCAACCTGGGGACAAGGAGAGACCAGAGCTGTGACATAACTGAAAATACAATCCTCCAGACACACACAGCTGGGAGGGGACAGGGTTAGAGGAAAAGGAGGGAGGGGAGGAGAGGAAAGAAACTGAGTCAAACATGGACCAAGGAGAATCTCACAAGGAAGAGTTACAGCACTTACCTTCCAGCCACGGAGACACAGTTCAAGACTCCCAAAGAGAACTGGGCAAAGTGCTCAGCACGGACTCCCTCCCTCCCGCCCAGACTGGCCCGGCTCCAGGTGCTCCTGTGGACCCGGTGTCAGGTCACGGGGAAATTCAGGTTTGGCACTGTTTACTTGGCCCGGACCATGTGCCTGGGGGTGGGATCATTAACTCTGCTTTACAGAAGAGGAAACTAAGGTTCAGGGGGCCCCATGACCTGTTCAATGAGCCAGGACAGAGCTGGGACCTAAATAAGGTCAAGGCTCTCTCCACTACCTCAGGGGGCCTGGCAAGGAGCTGAGCTCTGATCAAACCCCGATTCCCTATGATTCCGAGGCTAGTGCTAGCCTCAGCTTCCAGAAAAGAAACTGAAATTAAGAAGGAAATCTAGGACACCTCTTTGCTAGTGTAAGCACAGCCAGGATGACTGCTTCCACATCAAACGCCCTGCTTTCCCTGAGGCATAAGAGGTCTGAACCCGCCAGCTAATATTCATCTTGAAAGCTCTAATGGGTTGCATACAAAGTGCAGCATCTCAGGGTAACTTTTAACTTGCCCTAGATTCGCTTCTTGCTTCCCTCTTCAAGGCTCTCAACAAACAACAACCTACTTCCTCACCTGCTCTCAGACCCTGGGCAGGAAAGCTTTTTTTTTTTTTTTTAATATATTTTATTGATTTTTCACAGAGAGGAAGAGAGAGGGATAGAGAGTTAGGAACATCGATGAGAGAGAATCATCGATCAGCTGCCTCTTGCACACCCCCTACTGGGGATGCGCCCGCAACCAAGGTACATGCCCTTGACTGGAATCGAACCCAGGACCTTTCAGTCCCCAGGCTGACGCTCTATCCACTGAGCCAAACGGGTCCCGGCAGGAAAGCTTTTCTTACATTAGATCAGCCGTTTGCCTCAGGCGCCCTCTGCTGGACTAAGCAAGGAGTGCAAAAGAATGACACACCTTGATCTGTGAAACAAGTGTTTTGGGAGATTGTTAGGGCCCTTCTAGCTTTAGAATCTACAAACCCCACAGATGGGCCTAGAAACTCAACAGGCCTAAAGCACCTAGCGTGGACCTTTTAATGGTCAAGGTTTTCTTTTAGAGCACAAAGCAAGATGATGAAATGGTGATTCAGGGAAGTTGGTGACTTGTGGTGGAATGATGGCGTGAGAGCTTTTGATGTCAGAGGCTGGGCTCCCCCGCTTCCCTTCACCACAACTTACACATTTCCCAGTCTGTGATTGGCCAGGAGCTTCCCAGTTCTGCTGCCTCCTGATGCAAGGCCTTTTACAAAGGAGTTGTCAGATACCTGCCTGCCTAGAGTGCAGACACGAACAGCCTTGCTCAGGGTGCTTCCCACCATCCTGCTGAATTCAGGGCAGGGGGGAATGTGTGTGGCTGGAGTGTGATCTACGAGACACACTGAGCATCTACTCTATGCCCACACAGGGCACCTTTTGCAAAGTGATACACTTTCCCAAGAACTAATGTTTTTTAAAAAGCACAGCTGCATAAAGAAATTCACTTATCTAGCCCTATTTCCATACCGGATGGTGTGCTTTCCTTCAGGATACTGCAAAGTCTAGGCATGTGTGCAGTGGGGATTTCTGAACATAATTATATGAAAGTGCAATTCTATGTAAACAGCTGTTGAGTCACAAGTGGTTACTTGTAACTGGCCCGGCGAAAGCCCACCTCCAGAGAGCTGAGAAGAATGTGCCTGGCAGCTTCAAAAAGCCACGATTACTCTGGGTAACCTGGACCGTGAGAAAACAGACTTCTTGGCTAGCCAACTGGACCATACAAATTTGCAAGAGATTGGTGACTGATAGAAGAACGACTTGACAAATATGTTTTGAATCTGCTCAGCACTGTTTGGGTAAGCTATAAATCATTATCACTGAAGGAAAAATTTCATCACCACCCCTATTTCAGTTAGTGGAATAAAGTAATAATGATGACTGCTATCAAGGATGCTCACTGAGCACTTACTATATGTCAGGTACCCTGTTAAGCACTTTACGTTTACATGTATCATCTCACTCAGCCTGAGTCCATTTTACCTACCTCGGTCACAGTAGTGGTGTGGGTGGGGCTGGGTGACGCCAGGGCCTGTGCTCTTGGCCACCACGCTAGATGCACCCCAAATGCTCAACTACAAGTAGAGTTCTGACTCCTCTCTCCTCCAAAAGTTGGGAGGTTCTGCTCTGTCTCCCCAACTTTGCCCTCATTTGTTCCCTGCCGTCTGCTCCAATTCTGCCCTAGTTAGGACCCTTGGGGCCTCTTGGAGACATGGCTTTGCCCATTCATGGTACTCAATCACACACTCGCTGGCTGTCACGTGGTGTTCCTAAAGCACAGGTCTGGCTCAGCCTCAGCCTGGCCCCCTTCCCCGGAGCAGTCCCCCAGACTGCCTGCCTCTCCATGTCTACCCTGGCCCCACCTCTGTGCCTTGGTTTCCCCTCCCCAATCCAGCAGTCGCCATCATAGTCCTGAAACCACCTTCCTCAAGCCAGTCATCAATCCTTTTTCCCAAATCCCTAGAGAACATCTTGATGGCAGACACCAGATTCTAGAGAAGCCCATGTCAGCCACGTACATAGGCCAGTGACAGCAGCTCCTTGGGATACAAAATGATCGGAACAGAAATGAGGGATAAGACAGAATTCAGAGCCCTAATGAGTGACAGGAACACGGAGCTTCACAGATCGTGTAGTCCAGCCACTTCACTGCCCCAGGAAGGCTGTGCCCTGCCCAAGGTTCCAGTCCTCCAAAGAAATTCTTCCCCAGCCAGCACAGGTGCTGCTGGTGTAAAAAACAAGCCAGGGCCCAGCAAACGGCACCCTGGGGGCCAAATCCAGCCTGCCACCTGTTTTCATACAGCCCGCAAGCTAAAAATGATTATCACATTTTTAGAGGTTTGGAAAAGTCAAAATCAAAAGAATACTTTTGTCATGTTGTAAAAATTATGTGAAATTCAAATTTCAGTAACAATAAAGTTTTATTAGAACACAGTCATGCTTGTGGTATACAGGTTGTTGATGGCTGCTTTAATGTTTAAGGGCAGATTGAATAGTTGGCTACAGAAACTGTATGGCTGGCAAAGCCTAAAATATTTGCCATCTTACTCTTGACATGAAATGTTTGCCAACTCCTGAAGCAAACTCTAATTTTGTAATCCAATGACTTAAAAAAAATGTATTTCTGGAGTTCTTAGATACTGGTGAGGTGTCTTGGGGGCCACTGCATGTGTGTATGTGTTTGTACGTTGAGGGTATATCAGAATGGTGGCTTGATCCCCTTGCCCACTGTAGCTGGCTTTATTGGTGGTTTTTTGTGGTTTTTTTTTTGGTGTGTGTGTGTGTGTATGTGTATGTGTGTGTGTATAGGAAATAAAGCCTTTATTATAGTAAGGTCTTAGGGTGCTATTGCTCTCTGAGGTAGAATGGTTTATTTCATACAAATAGAAAGTAGTGAAATTTATCCAGCTTTTAGAGTTTTAAAATATAATAAGCAACATGTGGCAGTTTTGAAATGTCAACAATAAATATACCTCTACAGTCCCTCTAGAACTATCTTACTTTCTAAAGAAGTCAAACGAAAGTAAAGGGCCATTTGTCAACAAGAAAAGAAAATTGAAGTGAAAGTGTTAACCCTCGTATATAAAAATAACTTTCAATATTCAGAATGTTAAAAAAGGAATGTTCAGAAGTAAAACAATGCATGAAAGAAGGTACACACAAAGACCATGGAAAGAACTGAAATGGCGGGGAATAGCTTTCAAACAAAGTAAGATGGTTTCTACGTTACAGAGCTCTTTTGCAGGCCCGGAAAGTGCTCTGATGGAGAAAGCAGCCTTTAATTCGCAACTGAAATAGTGACCAGCAAGTTCTCTAACCCAGAGCGCACACAGTGCCCATTCACAAGCTCTCACGAGGTCTCTCATTTCCGGGGTCAACACGGCGGAGGCTGGGTTTTAGAGTCACCCATGCTACTCTAGCAGGCCTCTTTCACTGGGATTTTGGGCAAAATTTCATTTTGGAAACAACAGGCCATTTTAGAATGTGACCTGTGTTAAAAGAAAACAAAACTAAACTAAAAAAACACAATTGTTATGGTTTTATTAGATATAAAATGATAAAGTGAATATTGGGACATTTTCTAAGGTCAATGCAAAATGACCATGAGTAGCAATGAATAACCTAACGTATTTTAAAAATCACAGGTACTGCAAATTTCCATTTGACCTTTTGGTAAAAAGTATTTTTTTATTCCTTGCCCCACTGTACTTTTTATAAAGGCTGAAATCCAGAGAGCAGCAGAGGGTACATGTTTGAGGCAAGTACAGGAGTTGGCAATTTTTTTTTTTTTTGAGGTTTGATGAAGTTTTTGTTTTGTGAAACATATAGAGCATGGCAAATGTTTTATTTTCAAGGGCCAAACAGAAAACATTTTAAGTTTTGTGGGCAAAATTAAGGATATTATGTAGGCACTTATGTAACAACTAGAGGCCTGGTATACGAATTCGTGCATGGGTGCGGTTCCTTGGCCTGGCTGGTGATCAGGGCCATCGGGGCAGCTGGCCAGGGGGAGGGACCATGAGAGGTTGGCTGTGGGAGCACACTGACCACCAAGGGGCAGCTCCCCCTGGTTGTCAGTGCACATCATAGCAACCAGTCATTTGGTCAACCAGTCGTAATGATCTCTTAGGCTTTTAGAGAGATTTAAAAGCAACCATTTAAAAACAAACAGCTCTGGCCAGGTGGCTCGGTTGATTGGAGCATTGTCTGGTACACCAAAAGGTTGTGGATTCAGTTCCCAATCAGGGCACATACCTAGGTTGTGGGTTTAATCTCTGGTTGGGGCGTACGTGGGGGAGGCAACTATTGATGTTTTTCTCACACACTGATATTTCTCTCTCTCCTTCTCTCTCCCTCTCTCTCTCTCTCTCTCTCTCTCTCACTAAAAATCAAGAAAAACAACAGCAACATATCCTCAGGTGAGGATTAAAAGGTAATAATAAAAACAATCCAAAATAAACCCCAAATAACAAAACAATAACAATAATAAAGAATAAAATAAAAGCAACTATTTATAAATGTAAAAATCATTCTTAACTCACAGGCCATAAAAAGACAAGAGATCAGCTTGTTTTGGCCATGAGCTATAGTTTGTAGACCGCTGGCCTAGAAAAAGGCAGAAAGGGGTTAATCATGAGAAAGAATTCTGAATTTGATATAATTAATAGCCAGCATGCCAAGAGAAATGTACACCCGTTAACCTTTCACAAGGAGAGCATCCAATCAAAGCTTTCATTGCTTGACTGCTATGTGGTTCCTCATCTTCCCTGCAGGTATCAAAGAAGCCAATTTGGCTTAGTCTAAGGTAGGGGTGTCGAACTCAATCAGAGAAGGGGCCAAAATCTAAAATCCAGCCTAAATCGCGGGCCGAATGGTTTACTGAACAGTCATAAACTGTCATTGTGATGGAAACGCAGCGGAGTGCAGTGATGACAGCGCGGTGCGGGCCACATTGCAAGGCCTGGCGGGACGGATTTGGCCCGCGGGCCTTGTGTTTGACACATGTGGTCTAAGGAACCAGTTCTCCACAAGCCATCATGAACCCTCAGACAGGGCCTCTCCCCAGTTTTCCCCTACCTGCGTGTTTTCATCCTCCGCTAGGGCGTGAGCAAGGTGGGCGCTGAACGTGCTTTTCCCAACGCCGCCTTTCCCAGACAACACCAAGATTTTGTGTTTCACGGTCTTCATTTTCTCTTTGATTTCCTCTATAGCTGCAAAGAGAGCAATTCAGGTGATGACATCCTCCAACTAAATCCCAAATGTCACTCTTCCAATGGGCTAGGAGGGAATGAGTGTGAAATACCACCCAGTCAACGGTAGTAATATATGGTACAAAGAAAATAGGGCTATTATCACATCTGACATTTTCTTACTTATTGATTTACTTAGTTATCATAGCTTACTAGAATATAAGCTCCACGAGGGTGAGACTCTGTCCTGGAGTGTTCACCACTTTATTCCTGGCTTCATACCAGAGCTATGAATATACAGTCATACACCACTTAACAACAGGGAAACGTTCTGAGAAACGTGTCATTAGGCGATTTTGTCCCGCCATCATCGTAGAGTGCACTCACACAAACCTAGATGGCAGAGCCTATTATAAACTTAGGCTATACGATATGGCCCACTGCTCCTAGGTTACAAGACTAAAGAGCATGTTACTGTATGAAACAGCACGAGATTAAATCAAGCACAAGAGAAGATGATATATTCAAAGGATAAACATGAGATGTAGGAGGCAGCTGCCAGTGTAACACAGCATACTATTTTACAGCAAACTCTTATTAAGTAGAAATAAGTATAATATAAGTAGTAAATATATAAGCTAATTAATGTAATAGTTTATTATCACATATTATGTGCCATATGTAATTATATGTGCTGTACTTTTATATGACAGGTTTATTCACACTAGCATCACCACAAACATCTGAGGAACACTTTGCACTATAAAGTTAAGATAGTGACTAACTGGTGATAGGAATTTTTCAGCTCCCTTATAATCTCATGGGACCACTGTCACATATGCAGTCTATGGTTGATCCAAATATTATTATTTGGTGCATGAGTGTAGTAATGATTCTCAAACTGGGGGCAAAATCTGCCAGGGGACATCTGGCAATGCTGACATTTTTAGTTGTCACAAGGAAGGGGTGCTCCTGGCATGTAGTAGGCCAGGAATACTGCTAAATGCCCGACAATGCTGAGGACAGCCCTCACCACACAGAACTGTCAGCTCCCAGAGTCAGTAAGTGCCGGGGTTGAGAAAACTGACAAACAGCAGGCACTTGGTAACTACTTGTCACTGACGACTATCACGTATTAGACATGTGCTGTGCTTTCACGATTTCACCTTCTTTCAAACCCTTCAAACAACACTGTGAGGTAACTAATTTTCTCCCCCATTACTGATGAGGAAATAGAGGCCCAGAAAGATTAAGACTCAAGGTCAATACTGTTTTTGAGGGAACTAAAAATCAACCCAAGTCTCTCTCTGAGCTCCTTCAAAATTCTTCTCCCAGCTTCCTGCCTTTTAAGTTCCAGAGTCCTCCCCATTCTCCAATGTGACCCTCTTAGTGCTTATCGCTGTGATGACTTACTGCTTGCTTGCTTGGTTACTGTGGGTCTCCCCTACTAAAACCTAAAATCTGCTATACCAGCCACCCATCACAGAGCACTGTGCCTAGGAGGCAATTAATACATATTTCTGTTGAATGAATGGAAGAATCGCTCCTCAAAAAAAGAAATTCTGTCCAAAGAAAGTAGCTGAGGGTGCCAGGATTTAAACCCAAACTCCCTGACTTCAGAGATTATAGCCTATATTCCATTGCAGGTGGCCTCCTCCAGGCCAGTCACTGTCACTCAAACTTCTGGCCACACCCCTCAACCCAGCCAACTTCCCCCAGGTCCTGCCCTTAAGACTCCTTCTGACTTCAGGCAAGTCAAGGAACCTTAGGCTCCACTGCAGCCGGCCCCTTTCCTCGCTCCTGGCCTTTTAAAGGCCCTGCCCCTCGGGTCCCGCCTCTGTCATTCATTCCTCAAGTCCCGCCCCTCGTGGCCTTCCCTTTCCCCCCACCCCCAGACTTCACCAAGTCCCGCCTCCTCCAGCCCCGTATCTGCAATGCATCCCTTAGGCCACGCCCACACACCCCGCCCCGTTTCGCCATAAGCCCGCCTCTTCCGGCTCACGCCTTTTACGTTCCATGCAGAGCTTGCCCCTTCCTTACCAGGGTCCGGAGTCTCGCCGGCGCCTGACGCGCACAGCCGCTGGTTGGGGCACCCTTGGCATGCCGCCCCTCGGCCGGCCTGGGCGCTGCCGGTGCCGGGACAGTCTGCGCGGAGACAGAATCACAGTTAGAGCGGCCCCTGTCTTTCAGCCCCGCCACCCGCGCCCCTCCCGCGCACTCACTGTGCGGCGTCTCCTCCATTTCGCCGCCTTAGTCGCCGGAACCTGCGCGACGCCGGAACCCCTTTTGCGTACTTCCGGCTCGTGGCTCTCAGCCTCCCGCTGCATCGGAAAGAGCAGTGCGCACGCGCGAACCTTGTGCGGGGAAGCTTAGGGCTGATTTATTACTCTGCGCATTGGAACTGCTGCAAATATGAAATACTTAAGCATGTATCTCCCAGGAACAAAGGCATGATCTTACATGACCTCCATACCACCTTGATAACCAAGAAATTTGCCATTGGTGAAAAATTACTAGCCAATGTGTCTTTAGTCTCCTTTAATCCAGTACAGCCCTCTTTCCTGCCATTCCCTCCCCTCCCCTGGCCACATGTTTTGTCTTTGTGAGGTTAATAAATTTGAACAGTTCAGGCCAATTGTTTTATAGAATATCCCATAATCGTTATTTGATTCCCCCACCCCTCGTGATCAGATTCAGGTTGAAAGTTTTTGGCAGAAGACTAACATGCTCTACTAGTATAATAAGTATCACAGCAGGAGGGGCATATGCCACTTGGTCCCATTGTTGGTATAAAAAAAACCACAAACGTCAGCTGAGTCAACTTTAAAAATCTTATTGGCTTTGTCAACCAATGGTCTTTGGCACCAACTTCACACCAACGGGAATCCCCAGTTTGGGGGTGTGGTGAAGAAGCAAACTTTATTCAATGCAAAACAGGTAAATTCTAACACAAAGCAAGGCTTTGAAAGCAGCACACAAGTCCCTCCCTGCCTAGGGAGCTCTGCTCTGCTCCTCAGGGGTCTGTTCTGTGTAGTGCAGTCAGCTCTGGCCTGTGCCAGTCTGCTATGCTGCAGTGAGAGACAGCTCCAGTGTTTCAACTCCACTGGGGAAATGCAAACCTCAGCCTATAGTGAAAAAGAAAAGTGATTTTTGGGATTCCAAAATCAGAGGGAAGCTGGCTTATATAGACAGAAGTCTCCATCCCTACTCCCTGATTGGTCAGTCCTCTGCAAATGAGGGATCCAAAGCCTCAAAGTTTGATTGGTCAGAATAGAGCCACTCTGATTGGTTGGAACTCTCAGCTCTAATGGGATGAGGAAAGTCTCAGTTCTATTGCTTCTTTATATGGGCTGACTCTGATGGCAGAAACAGTGCAGGTAGGCAAGCCAGTGCAGAGTCCCCTGGCTTGCCTACCAATGCAAGGCTTCTCCCAGAAGTGCAGTTTGTGTGAGACCCCTGTGCAGAAATGGCTGTTTCTTAAAACTTGAGCCCAGTTTTAGGTCGAGGCAGGGGGCGAGGGGAGGGAAGGGGGGACCAGAGCCGATGCAAGCATCTGCAAGGTGGATGGTAACAAAGATAGCTGGCTAGCTGGCAGCTTCCTAGGGCCTTCCTAGACCCCTGGCCCGAGGCAGGAATTCCACACCCCTCATACCCTCCACCCTCGCCTCACTAAACAGCTGTATAAAAGAAGTACCTATGCCGCTTTTTGGCGCAAACTTCCCTGGCCCACCCTCGGACCAGCGAGCTTCCCCGAGAGCACAGATTAAAACCTTCCCCCCTTTTAATGGCCTGGATTCCGTGTCTTGCTTCTGTGTCACAAACCTCTCAGCTGAAACCTTACACCCAGTTAGCCACCCGGAGCCCTTCTTAGTAGGTGTCTTCTTTCTCTTCGATCACAGCTTTATTCAATGATTTGCTAATCAGGCAGCATCCCATCTAGCATAGGGGTGTCGAACTCAATCAGAGAAGGGGCCAAAATCTAAAATCCAGCCTAAATCGCGGGCCGAATGGTTTACTGAACAGTCATAAACTGTCATTGTGATGGAAACGCAGCGGAGTGCAGTGATGACAGCGCGGTGCGGGCCACATTGCAAGGCCTGGCGGGACGGATTTGGCCCGCGGGCCTTGTGTTTGACACGTGATCTAGCAGATAGAAAGGAGATCTGAGGAGCTGTATAAAACGAAAGACTTGCAGACTTACATGGTGGGGATGGGTGAGATGGGTGAGGGTAGATTATATAGGAGTTTATGGAGCTCTGAAATCAGATGACTCGTATTTAAATTTTGACTCCAACCAACCCTTATAAGCTGAAAACACTTGGCAAGACCCTTCATGTCCCCAGACTCTTTTTGCTTTAAAAATGGGATAATGAAAACATTTGCCTTGTGAAGTTGCTGTGGAGATAAAATAATTTACCTCATACAAAACACCAAGCACAGAACATCCAGAGAACAAAGGTCTAATACAGGCCTAACTCTGAGATACTGCAGGTTCAGTTCCAGAACACCATAATAAAGCAAGTATTGCAATACAATGACTTGTAATCTTGTTTGTCTTCAATCGGAGAAAAAACATAACACCTGTCAAGCACAATAAAGTGAAGAGCAATAAAACAAAGTCTGCCGGTGCAGTTTGTAGGGTGACTGTTGCAGAAATGATTTCCTGCACTCTTATTTACAGTTGGGGGACTGAGCCTACACAGAGAAAGTTGCCCCAGATCACGTGGCAGGTTAGTGGAGGAAACAAGACTAGCACATGGGGCAAACTACCAATAGTTAAACTAGATGCTGGTTCAGCAGGACAGGAGCATTTTAACACAGGTGGTGAAAACTAAGTGCACAGGAGAAATCTGTAGCTTTTGCATTTCACCACTAGATGGCGCCGTTCCCCTATCTATGAAGAAAGTAGTCAGGAAATGGGAAGAAAAAGATGTTAGAGCCCTAGCTGGTTTGGTTCAGTAGATAGAGCGTTGGCCTGTGAGCTGATAGGTCCCAGGTTTGATTCCAGTCAAGACCACATGCCTGTGTTGCAGACTTGATCCCCAGTGTGGGGTGTGCAGAAGGCAGCTAGCCAATCAATGATTCTCATCATTGATGTTTCTAGCTCCCCCTCTCCCTTCCCTTCTGAAATCAACCACAAAAAATTAGACAATTTTCTACCTCTTCCCTTATCCAGCAAAAATAACTAACAAAGGGCTATACACCGCATGTACTTAATAGATAACTGAGATGAGAAATGAAGTTCCATTTTATTATTATACTAGAGGCCCAGTGCCACGGGTAGGGTCCTTAGGCCTGGCAGGCTTTCAGGGCCGCATGGGGCATTGATCTTCCCTGGCTGCCAGCCGCCAGCCCAGCTGGAACCTTCCTTTGTTCTGCATCACCCCCTGGTGGTCAGCACACATCATAGCAAGTGATTGAACTCCCAGTCTCCCTGTAGAATTCCCAAGGGGATACTTTACATATTAGCCTTTTATATAGAGTATATACTAGAGGCCCAGTGCATGAAATTTGTGCATGAGGGTGGGGGGTCCCCTCAGACCAGCCTGAACCCTCTCCAATCTAGGACCCCTCAGGGAATGTACTACTGCCAGTTTAGGCCCTATCCTGGGGATTAGGCCTAAACTGGCAGTTGGACATCTTTCTCACAATCCAGGACCACTGGCTCTTAACTGCTTACCTGCCTGCCTGCCTGCCTGATTGCCCCTAACTGCCCCACCTGCAGGCCTAGTCGCCCCTAACTGCCCCCCCCCCTTGCTGGCCTGGTCGCCCCTAACTCTCTCCCCCCACAAGCTGGCCTGATTGCCCTTACTGCTCCCCCTGCCAGCCTGGTTGCCCCCAACTGACCCTGTGTGGGCCTGGTTGCCCCATGCAGCCTGCTGTTCGCTCATTTGGTCACTCCTCACTGACCCCCCCCTGTTGGCCTGGTTGCCTCACACAGCCTGTTCGGTAATCGGTTCGGTTGCTATGGTTGCTAGGCTTTTATATAGATAGATATATGGAGAAACCAACATCTGTTGGTTAAGAACATGGGTTCTTGAATGCCAGCTGTCTGGGCTCAAGTCCTAGATCCCTATTCACCAGATTTTCATTTTTTCTTCGTGCCTCAGTTTCCTCCTCTGTAAAATGGCAATAGTAATATTAACTACCTCAAAGGGTTATTGGTGGGAGGATTAAATAAGTTAACATGAGGGACATGGTTTTTAAAAGGGCACATTTGAGCCTGCTTGTGCTTGCAGTGATTAGTTCAGTTCTGAACTTTATTAAAACCATCACAATTAAGAGAGTGAACACATGTGTCATTTTCCAACGTTTCCTCATGACCTTTTGCAAACCTCTCCTCACCCCATTTTCAGGCAATCACTCATCTGTTTATTGTGTCTATAGATTAGCCTGGGTTTTCTAGACTATATATGCTCTTTCTGATCTGGCTTCTTTCACTTAGCATATTTATTTTAGGTTCATCTATGTTGTTGTTGTTGTGTGTGAAGTTCATTTCTCCTGGTTGCTATGTAGTATTTCATTATCAGATTACACCATAACTTGTTTATACATTCACCTGTGGATGGATATTTGGATTGCTTCCAGTTTGGGCAGGTTACTAATAAAGCTGCTAGGAACATTGTTGTGAAAGTCTTGGCAATGACATATACTTTCTTTTCTCTGGAGTAAACACGTTAAGAGTGGAATGGTGCAATGGTACGAAACTATCAAACTTTTTGCCAAAGTGGTTGTACACTCCCACCCACAGAGGGAATGGCCAGTATTTTGGCTTTTTGACCCTTTAATATGTGCGTAGTGATATTAAACCGTGGTTTTAATTTGCATTTCTCTAGTGCAGTGGTCAGCAAACTGCAGCTCACGAGCCACATGCAGCTCTTTGGCCCCTCGAGTGTGGCTCTTCCACAAAATACCACGGCCTGGGCGAGTCTATTTTGAAGAAGTGGCGTTAGAAGAAGTTTAAATTTAAAAAATTTGACTTTCAAAAGAAATTTCAATTGTTGTATTGTTGATATTTGGCTCCATTGACTGATGAGTTTACTGGCCACTGCTCAAGTGAATAATTGTGTTGAATGCTAGGTGTCTGCGTTTAAGTCCCAGATCCCCATTCGCCAGCTTTCCATGTGTTCATTCACCATCAGCATGTCTTCTTTGCTGAAGGACTCCTCAAATCTAAAGCCAATCAAAAAACTTTTTTTTTTATTATTGAGTTCTGAAAATATTACATATTTTCTGGATACAAGTCCTCAATCAGTTGTATGTTTGGCAAATATGTTCTTCTAGTCTGTGGCTTATCTTTTCCTTCTCTTAAAAATGTATTTTTAAGAGCTATTCTTTGATGAGGTCCAGCATACCAATTTTTAAAAATGTGT